AGACACCTGCTCTCCTCCCATTAGGGACTAGGATGGGAGAGCCACCCATCCTCACCTCCACACCCAACTTTCCCTTTATTTAAAAGTTAACAAGAGAACTGATTTACAGTAAGGATATTGTCAACTCTCGTCAATGGACCACTCCCTGTTTAGTATGGCCAGCCCCAAGGCTTTTCTGCACTCTTCACCTCCCTTCCTCTGTCAAGGAGTCGGCCTCATGGGCGGCCTCATGCGATGAGCCAATGACCATGGTGAGTCTGGAATCAGGCCTGGGCACCCCAGGGCTTGAACAGGCTGGGAAACCTTAGATCCCATCAAGAGTGTCCTTCTACCCGTATGCTGCAGGGGGCAGTGTTCCTCCTCAGACTGCACAGGCTAGTTCACCAGCCTGTGGCATGCTACTCCTCACTGGACCCCAAGCAGACTGGGTTCAAGTCAGTGTGGACCCAGAGTCACCCCTCAAGGGCAGTGGGGGACCCTAACAGGTAACACTTCATGTGCTCTTGTGTATTCATCTGAGACCTTCTCTCCGACCTTCGACCTACTGTATGTGAGACATCCGATCGCTTCTCAGATGCCACAGACTGAACAAGATTCCAACAGACACATAACTGATACGGGTGCTGTCAAACACCGGGCAAGCAGTCGTGAGGTCCTTACCTGAGCAGATCCCAAATCCAGGAGCTCAGCTACTTCCCTTGGAATGTTTCCTTGAGAAGAACAGCCCTCGTGGAGGACCCTCTGTGATCCAGCTATCCTAGTCCAGGTATGGATCCAGAACAAACAATATCCACATGGTCAGAGGGACACCTGCTCTCCTGTGCCCGCCCCAGCTCTGGTTACAGCAGCCAGGACGCAGTCAGCCTGGTTTCCACAGGTGAGTGTGTGGAAGAGGACATCGGAGTGTACAGACCTGCGAATGCACACAGAAATGGGATCCTAACATTCACAGCATAATGGGCCAGACTGGGCGTCATTAAGCTGAGGAAAATAAGCTGGACACACACAAAGGCAAGTCCTGTGTGTTCTCTCTTGCCTGTGAAAGTTAGTTAATCTGGGGCTGTGTTTATACAGATGGTAATGGTGTAAGTTAGGACGCCTGTGTCTTGTATTGGCTTCGATACCTATCTCTGCTCCAGACTCCAGCTTCCTGCTAATGGACACCTGAGGAGGCAGGTGTCACCGCCTCAAGTAATCAGGTTCTTGCCACCCACGTGGGAGACAGGGCTCCTGGACGCCTGGACGCCTGGACGCCTGGACGCCTGGCCGAGGCCTGGCTAGCCCAGGGTCATGACAGGCACGTGGGGAATGAAGCAACAGAGCAGGCGTGGCTCCTTCTGTTCACCTTTCCAATAAGCAGTAATGAATGTGAACTGAGGAGAGTGACTGCTAGAGGCTGGGAGGAGTGGGGTAGGGAGGGACTGCAAGAGGGAGGCCGGGTAATGGGCTCCAAGACGCAAGCAGCTTGCAGCGTGTCATGGTATTCCACAAATATTTTTTTAAGTTCTTGTACAATGCATATAATGAAAATTCTTTTCCATGTTTGTTTTCTTGTATAGAGTCTGCTAGAATGGGAGCAAGCAACAGTGCCACCTGTTATTTTGGATAAGCTGGGCAAAGTGCTGCCTCTGCTCGGATTATGCCTTCCATTAAGTTCTGTGGAGGCTGTCAGGAGAGGAATGAGATCAACCATATGCGGGGTATGGCCAAGGAGCAGCTGGTCTACACATCAGTCACTCTCCAAAATCCAGTGTGGTCCATATCCTGCCATGGGTAAAATCTAAGTAAGTAAATTCAAGGACAGGGGCCTGACCCTGACACTTCCCTTCTAGGAAGGCATCAGCTGTTTACATTAATACTCCTTAGCCACATTCAGCCAGGTCTTTCTCTAAGCCACTGACTGAAACCACCTTGAAGGAAGTCCTGGCTCTGGTTTTCTGGATTGTTTTCTGGATTGCTCTACTGCTCTGAATTATGGACCACTTGTGGCTTTTTTTATATAAAGTTACTTTGTGTAACACACTTCCTGCACAAGTCTATAATCCAACATATCCTAGCACAAAAATCAGAACAACAGCATAGGATAGAGTATAGCTTGGTTTAAGAGAATGATACTCCATGAAGCTTCTGAGAACGTGTATTTATAGTAAAAGGAGCATAAGATTACAAATAGACATTGGTAAAGTACGTGAAGAACACGTCGGCCACACTGTTAGCCCTCACAGTTCCTGGCCAATCAGAAGAGCAGGTCTGCTCAAACAGTGGTCATGTGACCCACGGGAGAGAGAATGGCATGGGGCACAAGGCTTCAGCTATGTCTACAGGGCTGCTGAGTCGGAGCTGGCCCTTTAAGGACTCTGAACTGGTCATCAGGAGTGCGACAAAGATGGGCAGGAAAGGCCTGCTGTGCCAGTCTCTTCCGTGTTTCTATAACAAAACACCAGCGGAGGCGGGGCAAGTCCTAGAACAAAGAGGTCAGCTTGGCTCCAAATTTCAGCTGCTGCAGGGTACAAATGTCATGGCACCTGCTCCCTGGCATGGGCTGTGGCAGCATGGAGGAGGATGAGAGAGGAGTGAGGCATGGCACAGCCCTCCCTACTGTAAACTCTCCACTCTCTGCAGAGCCCACTCGGCAAGCCCAGGATTAGGGCCAAGGGCAATGACCCCATGGCCTAGGCAACTCTACCATGCCCCACCTTTTAAAGGATCCACTGCCTCTCAGTGTTGCCTCCAACATGGGGACCTACAACATGGGGACACAGTCAAATCCCACTCAAACCAAAACATGCACCCTAGTGGGTGGGATTCACACATCGTCCCCAGACTTCCTTGTCCTAAAGAGAGAGAGGGGATCTTGACGTGAGCAGCCCTGGGGGTGACAGGTCATCCATCCCCTGCTTCAGATAAACTCCATGACACAGTTCCCCAGAGGGAAGGAAAAAATGGTCGGGCTGACCCTGGCCTAATCAGTTGAGTCCTTGTAAGAGGTGGGAGGCATTGAATGAGTCTACAAGGTGCAAACCACCTTCCTAAAAAGGGCCACAGGCAAGAACCCTAGGTCCTTGGCAACTGGTAACAAAGTAGAGCCTCTGCCCTCTATCCCATCCATAGCCGGGGGGTGTGTCTGGGGGGAGATGACAGGCCCAGCTGCTTCTCCACGTCTGCCCATGGTGAGCTGTGACTGCCTGTAACTCTGGCCCCCGGAAGCCCCGAGACGGTGCAGGTCGCTGGGCTGCAGAGCCTGGGACAGTGTGGTGCTCCATCTAGATGCTTGGACTGATGAGGCAGATTCTGTGAAGGTGATGGGTTGACATGAGGACAAAGCCGAGCACTGGGAGAGGTAGAGGGGAAGCTGACAAAGCAGCATGGCAGAGAGCACTTTGTCTAGACAGCTTAGGAGTCACTCCTTTGTGGAGCTTGAGATCCCCGTCACACTGCTGTGTCATAGGACTTGCTGATTACCTGCATCCGGTGCGGGTGGGGCTGAGGACGCCAACTGCAAGCAGCTGCATCTTGCTTTTTGCTTTTTTTTTCTTATTTTGACAGAAAGTGCTGAGTGATGATCTGAGCCCAGTTTGTGGCTGTGCCTGGTCTTTGCAAGCCCCAGAACCAAAAGAACCAATTGTTTCCATTACAATAGTAGGGGTCACTTCACCTGACAGCTTTGGTAATTTTATTCCTTCTTACTTTTCCTACTGAGATGCAGGCATTTTGCTGGCTTTTCCCAAGCCACTGTGGGTAACAGATATCCAGGGCTCCTTTCTTTTCTTTCTTTCTTTTTTTTTTTAATGTTTTTTTTTAATGTTCATGACATTGGCCTATGTCTTTTTTAGGATTTAATTATTTTATTGGAAAGGCAGATATACAGAGAGGAGGAGAAACAGAGAGGAAGATCTTCTATCCGTTGATTCGCTCCCCAAGTAGCTGCAACAGCTGGAACTGAGCCGATCTGAAGCCAGGAGCCTCTTCCAGGTCTCCCATGTGGGTGCAGGTTCCCAAGGCTTTGAGCCATTCTCCACTGTTTTCCCAGCTACCAACAGGGAGCTGGATGAGAAGCAGGGCCACCAGGATTAGAACTGGCACCCATATGGGATCCTGGTGCATTCAAGGCCAGGACTTTAGCTGCTAGGCCACTGTGCCAGGCCCTCAGGGTTCCTTTCAATTCGAGCAACAATGGCTCTGTAATGCTTTGGAATGGTTTCCCATTAAAACCCTAAAGCTCCTTGACAACATAGCCACAGCATATAGGTTTGGCATCTTCAGTTAATCATAGCCAAAGCATTACAAATTGCAAAGCAAAGTCCCAGACTGGGAAGGGATTCAGGCTAGGATGTGGCCCAGGTGTGCTGTTTGCTCAGAACCTCCTGGCCTTACCCCTTGTACCTTACCTTCACCTTGGCTGAGCTTTCATGCAACCAAGAAGAGCGATATCCAGGAAACTGCCCCTCAATCAAAGATATGGTGCAAGGGAGGCAGAACTAGGAACCAAAGCCTTAGTGTTCCTGAATGCCCACCCTCGGGGCTCAGACTGTTCTGCCCTGGGAAACACAAAGCAACAACTTCAGTGGAAAGATCCTCTGGAAAAAAAGCCAGGTGGCCATTGTGGACGCTGCCCCTTGGCTCCTCAGGAGGAGAGCTATCACCGCTAATCTGAGGCTGTGCTGATCAATCCTAGCGCAGTATTCCTCAAGAGAAAGTGCTCACTCAGGAGCCTAGCAAGGCGCCTGGTGACAGGTGCCGGCCTGTAACTTCTCAGGGACCATCTCAGCTTCCGAGGCCCATTCCAATTCCAGGTCTAAACTTGAAGGCCCCCAACATGAAACCTCAGGTCATTCTGTTTCAGAGGTTCTAGCAGACATTACTTGGGCCAATGCTATTTGGGTACCGAAGATAGGGCAAAGTGAAATGAGAACACATCCCCCTTCCCACAACATCCAGTTCAAGGTTCTACGAGGCCAGGTTAACCACTAAAAATGCGCAGATACAGACTCCTGTGTCAATCTGATGAGCCGTGCTAGGCCAAGCTTATTTTATTACATACATTCTGCATTCTAAGAACGAATAACTTCATATTGTAAACACTAAGCAATACAGAGTTAAAATTCAAGGCCACATGAAATCATTGATTGTCTCTTTCATTCCTATGTCTTTGGTTGGCCGAGATCAACTCGTAGTGTATAAATGCATAAGTTATATAATTATTATATAAAAAGGAGGAAAAAGAAACATTGACTTGTATACTTCATTCTGACAAACGCACAGCGTTCGTGACTCGAAAGGGGAAATGAAGCCCAGCTGTCTACCAGCGTGCCCATGGGGCTTCTGATGGTGGTGACCCACAGGTCAGCTCCTACCTGACCCTGCGGAGGCCAAAGCCCCCACACCACAATGACTTCCTGAATATTTGTTTTTGTTTTTTAAATATCAGACAATTCCAGTTAAAATTTTCTTCTGACAGAGAAAGAAAGAGATGCATATTTTGAGTTCTGAGCTCTCCTGCTCCCCCAACCCTCCGTCACACCATGCCTTTTTGGGTTAATACTGGATTTGGTATAACACTGACACCTTAAACCTCAGATCTCCAACTCACCCTCCCAGTCCTGCACGTCCTCAGTCCAGCCTCCACTGCTGGAGGAATTCCCCCCAAGTCCCTGCCTTCTCCTTCCCTGCCTCCTTCTCTCCTCCACCCCCAGTCCTCTGTCTACAGTCACACACGCCCTCTCTGAACACATCCTCAGTCCCACCTTTTGGCTCATGGTTCCTATAATACTGTAAAGGAGTTGAAAATGTTGGCTCATCTTCACAGTTTGAGAGAGCTGGCAGCTCTCCATCCAATGGGATGAATCTAGTTTCAACCAGAAGAGCAAGTGCCAATGGGTTCTGGGTCTTTTGATGGGCCACAGTAAGTCAGTCTCTCTCTCTTTTTCTCGCTCCCTGCTTTTGTGTTTTACTTTTGATATGTTACTAGCTTTACATACAGGTAGCCTTCCTTAAAATGGCATTATAAAGGTGTGTTAGGTCAAAACCATATTCTATCTATTGTTTGAGTTCAACCCCAGTTGGCAACAGCAAGATCCTGAATTTCACCCCAAAGTTTGCACATGTCTCCAACAATTTTTCCGTTGGAACTTCGCCCCGATGACTTCATGCTTCTACCTGCGTCGTCTTTGACAAGTGGGTCCACAGATTAGATCATCCATGTACATGGCATTTTTAGCATCCTCTTGGGTTCCTTAGTAACACTATAGTAAATAGTAACTCCAGCCCACTATGAGTCTTTGTATCTCTTCCCTGGCTTCTTCCACTTGAGGCACTTCTGATCCGTGTTCTCCAAGAGTTTGTGGCAATGGATTGGTGACTGGATGTAGTTGGGAAAGGTCACAGCCAGGTCTTTAGTAGTAAGTGCCCAGGTGTGAAGGCATATGGCTGGCTGGGAGCCTAGTGTTAGGGTATATTCCTCCGGTGGGTGAATTCCAGTATGGGTTTGGGGCAGCAAAAAAACTGGAAGACGTCACAGGGAGGGCCGGAGGGTGGGGAGCCACGAAGTTCATCTTCTGGGGGTGGGGATGATAGGAGCCCACGTAGGGGAGGTCCGAGGGGTACTTGTACAGAGATGATTCTGGTGGGTGGGGCTGTAGGGCCTGGGCGATTCCGTGGAAGTCAAACTTGTAGGCGTAGCGCTTCCCGTGCACTTTGGTCATGATGTTCTTGTCGTAGTAGTAGCGGAGAGCACGACTCAGCTTATCATAGTTCATATTGGGTTTGCTTTTCCGTTCTCCCCAGCGCCGGGCCACCTCATCAGGGTCTGTCATCTTAAACTCCCCGTTGGTGCCCTCCCAGGTGATGCAGTTGGAGTTGGAGCTGTCCGACAGGAGCTCCAGAAGGAACTGCCACAGCTGGATCTGGCCACTGCCTGGTGAGGGAGGAGAGGACAGTGGTGACAAAAGGGTCTGAGGCCAAGGCATCCTCACCCAGAAGAAAGGTGGAGAGCTCATGGGATGTGGCCTGGAAGCCCTTCACCTGACTTACCTGCCCATACCTCAGTTGCTTCTCCTGTTCTATGGCCACCCTCTGCTCCAGAGAGCTCTCCTTCAATGCACTGAGGCTGCTTCAGCCAAGCATCTCATGGTAGAAGGTTCAGGAAACCCTAGGTTGGACCTTGTTTTTACTCTGTGACACTGTGCACATCCTACAGTAGGCTAAGGAGACGACATAGGAGCCGGCGTTGTGACTCGGCAAGTTATATTAGCATCCCATATTAGAGTGCAGGTTCGAGTCCCAGCTGCTCCACTTCTGATCCAGTTCCCTGCCTATGAACCTGGGAAGGGAGTGGAGGATGGCTCGAGTTCTTGGGTCCATGTCACCCATGTGGGGGACTGGGATGGACTTCTAGACCTTGACCTGATCATGTGTCCAGCTGGATTTGAACAGATATTAGAAAATTTCTCTGTCTCTCTGTCCTTCTGTCTTTCAAATTAATAAAATAAATACTTTTTCTTTAAATTCAACCTCGTGGTGATGGTATGCCCCTGCCCTGCTCTGCCAGCCCCTTTTTACCTGGGTGTGCACCCTTGGTGAATCACTCGCACATGTGCCCAAGTCTCAGTTCCACCTCTAGGAAAAATGATTTAAGGCAATACGCAACCCTGGGGATTTAGGAAGGCCTGCCAGGTCCATGTTCTCCATGGAAGGCAGAGATGGCACTCGGGCAAAGTACACTAAGCTTTACTCCATCCTTTCCTGACTCTATCTAGGTCAACTCAATGTTTTGGGAGTAAAACAGCCCATTTTCCCCTATTTTGTGAAGCAGGAAAAAAATGCCATTATGTGACTGGCAATAATGACACAATCCCATTTACATTGGCAAGGTCGAGAAAAATAATCCAAGTCAGACTTAGGAAATGAACTTCTGAATGCTTATGGAAAAAAGCAGAAGATGGACGCAAACAGCTGGGATTTCTACCACAATACATTGCTGGCACTCAGCAGGCCATTCTGCTACCACTTTGCCTAGCATGGTCAAACCACTCAGAATGAGGAAGCAGGGGGCAGAGGGCAGAGGGCTGGCTCTACCTCAAACCACATCGCCCATTTCTAGCACCCAGGCAAGTGAACCAGGCTTCCCGCCTCCCTCCCTTTGCAAGACACTGCACACCGCGTGGGGCATGACCACTTCCCCCAAAGGAAAGCTGTGAGGTGAACTGGGACTTGGGGAAGAAAGACCCCACCCAGCCAGGTGTACACAGTCCGGGTTATCCGGGTCCCGCTGAAGGTACACAAACAGGCCTCAAGGTTTCATTCATTGCACAATGAATTCCAGGCTCATCCCTCTTGGCTGGCCACCGAGTTTCAATCTTGAAGATGATTTATGGCTCCCCAACAGAGAGAAATGTAGATGGGAGTGTGGTGGGGGGAGGTGGGGGAAGCAGGGAACATGAGATGAAAAGATGAGTTTATTCTGATGTGCTAAGTGGTGGAATCCATGCATATGAGAGGGTCTTCGAAAAGTTCATGAAAGATGCATCATCTGAGTGAACGTTGCTGGTGAATACTAAGTGCCGAATGTCGGGAGAAGCCGCCCCACGCTGAATGTACTGCAGAAGATTTTAAAGTGGTTGAGAGGCAAGACCTTCATCCCAAACTTCAGTTATGTCATGGTCTTGCACTCATTATAAAGAAAAGTACCTTTTATTTTGTGATACGTAATATTCAAGATAATTTGAATGGACAATCATCCACGAAATGAATGGAATGTAAAAAAAATAAATCAATATAAAATTGTTTTTCCTGGACTCCGTCCCACACCAGCTCCCCATGCAAACTGACTCATGAACCCTTGCGTCCACATTGGCTCCATGGAAATGTATGTTGGTGAACTCCTCCACAGGACAGCATCGTGAGAAACACCGCCCTCCTTTGAGCGTGTTCTGGCAAGGCATGGCTTGGGGTCTGGTGACACATTTGCAATGTATTAGCAGCTTGTCGCTCATCGCCGTGGAAGCCTGCGACTTCGCAAATCACATAACAAACTGTTCTCAAACTGTTGTGCCACCCTTTGCATTTCATTAATATGCATTCAAAATTACAAAGAACGGTATGAGGGGATCATATGGTTTTGGTATATATATTGTAAGCAAAGGATTAAAACATGAAAAACATTCCATCGATGACCTGGGAATAGGAGGAAACACGAGGTTCCACGGTAACAGCCGAACATATGCTTCCCCACAAACACATGCAGTTGTTTGAAAATAAATATTCAGTGTCAACTTCCTCCTGGAGAGCGAGCAGTTCCACAGATTTCCATAAGCATGCAGACCTGCCACAGCAGCCAAAATAACGGCTGGCACCCGCTCAAGTGGCACCAGGCCCCTTGGGAATCTGTCCCTTGGCCACTTCCCTCGCAATGGGGAGTGAGAGAAGTGGAGAAGGACTGTTCCTTAGGCCCTGACAATGCAGATTCATGACTGGAAATGCAAAGCTGAGGGATGGGTGAGCCGATTCGCCTGCAGAGCCTTCCACCCCGAGACATAGGGCTCAGGACCCCCAGGCCCCTGAGGGCTTTAGGGGTCTATTAAAAGGAGACACTTTGGAGCAAGAGTCATCGGCTTCCAAATGTGAGTTAGATGTAATGTGAGGGGGGAAAAAAAGAAGCAAAACAATGAAGGTTCCTGAAGAGAGTATTATACGATACAGGACCATGTCAAGTTTACTACTGGTAAGACCAAGTAGTCACAGCAGGCCTGGACCTGGGATGCATCAGGTACGCTGTGGCTTGGGATGCATGCATCTGCCTCTTAGGGCTGGACCGTGGACGCAGGCATCTCCTATCAGAGTGCATGGCTTCAAGTCCCGACTCTGCTGCCGGCTCCTGCTTCCTTTAGATGCACACCCTGGGAGTCGGCAAGCGATTGTTCCTGCTTCCCACACGAGAGACCTGGATTGAGCCTGGCTCAGCCTTGGTGGTGGGACAGTGGGAGGCATTTGGAAAGTGAACCAGCAGATGATCTCTCACTCTGTGTGTGTGTGTCTAAGGCAATGCAAGAGGGTACGTGGCTGACCGAGAAATCGCCATTAGTCTTAGGTTCAATGGCAACTCCTGGGGACCGAATTTCAAAACCAATTTATGAACTAAGTTTATTGTTAAAATGATAACACTGAATATGTGACAGGGTGAGAGCTTTAGGCTTTAGAATCAGGATTCCAAAATAAGAATGCCCAGTTAGGACACCATAAAAAGACCAGGATCATGCATTGGACAAGTTTTTCCACCTCACAGCACTGCCATGAACTACCCTGGGGTAAAACCCTTCCAACCTATTTTCTCCTGCCGTAAAAACCATCCTTGCCAGGTGTAGAAGAAGAAGCTAATTTTGATGAAAAAATACCAGAACTGGGAGGCCACCTGCTGGATGAAAGGGTGGGGGTGTGGCTTTTATGGGGGCTGGAGGCACACCTTCACCTCGGAAGAGATTCATCTGTGAGTCTAGTCAGAAGAAGGAAACGCACAGTGGTGGAACACAGATACAGAAGCAAACAGCAAACAATGAGACAATTTACAAATCGCACAGGACACAGAATTGCAAGTGAGACAGCAGCCCTGGATTCAGTGTCCTGGGGCAAGGTTCAAAAGCAGCCAAGTCAGGCAAGGCAGGAGGCAGCAAGCACCAAGAAAGCACAGGTTTGGGGCCACTCGCATTGCACAGCCTGGACCCTTCTGCTTGGCCATGGGAGGTGGATGGAGCTCTCTGGTCCAAGGCTAAGCAAGGCTCAGACCGCATCTGTTAGGGGAGCAGGTGAACACCATGAGAGCAGCTCCAACTTCACAGCTAATGTCACCTTGACCGCTTGGCCCTCGGCTGGGCCACTTGGTATACTGGACAACTCCCTCAGTCACTGTGTCCCAGCGCCCCCATCTATAGATGCAGGCAATGACAATAGTGCCTTCTCATCTGAATACTTCCCTATGATTTCTCTGAGCAGAAAACCAGAGTTTTAGGAACCAGTCTTATAGCAAAGCAGATTAAAGCCTGTGACATTGGCATCCCATAATTGTACCAGTTTGCGTCTCAACTGCTCCACTTCTGATCCAGCTCTCTCTCAGTGTACCTGGGAAAGCAGTAGAAGATAGAAGATGGCTCAAGTGCTTGGGCCCCTGGATCCTTTTGTGAGATCTGGAAGACTCCCTGAGCTTTGGCCTGGCTCAGCCTTGGTCATTGCAGCCATCTACACAGTGAACCAGCAATGGAAGATCTCTATCTATCTATCTATCTATCTATCTATCTATCTATCTATCTATCTATCTCTATCTCTGCCTTTTTAAATAAATAATAAATCTTTCTTAAACAGAATAGAAGCGTTTAAGGAACGGCATCCTCCTTCCAGCCAGGCAGGAAAGGCCAGAGAGAACCCAGCTGCCCCAGGAGGCCCCATGTTGGTCCAACAGGAACGTGGGATGGTGACGTTCTCAGGGCTGGCTGACATCCATGTGATAATGCGCTAGGTTCCCATGGTAGCCATACGACTGCCCAGTGTAGAGATGAGGATTTGTGCTGCCCAAGGACAGCAAGGGGTTCCCCCAGGCTCCATCTGGGCAACCACTGCACAGTTCACCTTGCTCTCACAACTCAGCTGTCTCCTCGGGTTCTGGCCAGCCTGTCTCTTCTCTGGAGCTGTTTCTGGGTGGGTTCCCACTGTGATGGGTTCCCACATGTCCCCACTTGCTTTAGCAATGGCAAATGCCTAAAAGGACTCCGCGGCTTAGCAGGAAGCAGATGCATTTTTATGTTTGTTACTGAAGAACACCCAGGTAAAGGCAGGAGGACCACTGACCATTACCTAAGAAAACACTTCTCTTTCTTAGGGAGGTGATGTATCCTCACTAGAGGAACCCCATGATGTAACCTCACTGGAGGAATGCTGTCCCAAGTGAGAACTTGGGATACAGCTGCTGCTGGGTGGCTGCTATACCCCAGCTCATCACATCCCCTGACACAATCCTTCCACTAAATGGATCACACAGGGTCTGTCAGAAGAGCAAAGGCAGCCATTTCTAAAGGGATGAAGGGGTTGTTGATCACAGATTGAAGAGTAGGACCAGCAGGAAGAAGAAGAGTCATGAATAGGAAGACCAAAGACAATTCTGGCGGCAAGGTGAAACGCAACTAAGTGAAACCTAAGTTCAGATGGGAAGAACATCTGACTCACTGCAAACCAAATATTCCGAATCTTCATCGGAAAGCCAGTTGGTGGGGAATCCAAAGGTGGATGTGGTCACGTTTCCCCAGGGCTCACAGAGCATGGTCCTAGTGGGAGGAAGCAGGCTGTGCCTAGGCTGCCATGCTCCAGATTGGGGCTCCCAGGTCTGGGCTGGCTCTCTAGACTTCCTGCTCTGAGCCCAAGTTGTTCTCCTTCCAGGGGCAGCCCGATGCAGTTAGACATGAGGAGGAGCAGTGTGTATTCTGTCACAGATGATGCTTCAAACGGGGCCACGTGTGTCTCTTGGACCCCATCCTCCAAATAAGCCCAGCACCCCCTTTGAGGTGAAACACTGTGGGCATGGACATGCTTCATTCTGTCCCATTCTGTTCCATGATCCGTTCCATCCTGTTTGGGTCACCTTGACTCTTCTCTCCTGACCTCAAACCATTCCCTGCACCTAAACAGCCATTCTCCTGCATGGAAAGCCTGCCTTTTTAAACATACAGTCCCCACTGTCCAAGAACTCTCTCTTCCTTTAGTGCCTCACTGGGGGCAGTGGTGGGCTGCAAAGCAGAGACTAGGGAGACAGAGGCAGGACTGACATATCCTCCCTTCCTACTGCTGGCTGCGTGACTCAGAACAAATTGCTCTAAGTCTTGAGATCTCTGCTAGCTCTTCTGTTAGGTGGTGATAAGGACCTTCCTGGGTTGATGTCAAGCACAGAGGGGACCACCGACAAAAGCACATCCCTAGGGAAGGGCATTGTATGGAGCTGTGGGGCTTCATTTGTCTCCCCAGTTTCTTCCACTGTTCCTTCTATCTAACCTGCCTCCAACACACCTGCCAGATCCATGTCCTCTAGGGACAAGTGGACTTAATCATTTCAAAACACTGTCACTTGAGGAAGGACCAGAGACACGGGAGTTCTGGCCACCAACTTGACAGTCGCCATGGAGAAAACTGCGTGTGGCTCCAGGGTGTGGGCCATGTTGTAATGACCTCTGCCTACATCTTCATCAACTGAGAGGCCTGTGAAGTCAAAGCAGCACCTCATTTTCCTTCTCATTTGCTTATGTAATAGGTAACTGTTGAGTATTCAGCATGGGCCCTGAGCTGCTACAATTAAAAATAGTCCCTTCTGGCTGCACCTCCTCCTTAAAAAGCCTTTGCTGAATCAATTAACATTAACCAAGATGGAGTGTCCAAGATACTGACACTCAGTAACAATGGTATTCCAATATTTTCATTGCATAAATTCTCTGGGGAAAAGGGATGTGGGGAGGGGGCGGGAATACTGAATAAATCTGAATTCTTCCCTTTCCAAGTCTATTTTGGCCTCCGTGTTTAGGAAATGCTCATTCCAGCAGCCCCTCTCAATATGCCTGTGACATTCTGGCATCTGAGCATACAGCTGAGAACATGAGCATCTGCTATGAATTTCTGAAGCTGCTGTTAGCACAGCTGGTTCTGATCTGAGTACAAACAAAACAACAGGGTTGGCACTGAAGCGTGGGGACAGGTGAAGGTTTTTGGCAAGGTCCTGGGGGCCAATTATGACTTCGCACTTTCTTCCAGCCTCTAAGTTCTGACAGGGGCTATGAAAGAGGATCCTAAACTTGGCTTCCTGTGGCTGCTATTAAGGCTCTATTTTAAAAGACTGGATGTTTTACCTGCTTGTGTGATGGGCTGAACGATTGAATTCTCTCTTCTTCAAAGTGGGATGTTGTAGCTAAGAATATGACTTTTTTTTAGGAAATAGGACCTTCACATTGGTCCTCAGTTTTGAATGAGCCCATTAGAGGGTGCCCTGCACCAGTAAGGCCTGGCCATTATACACAAGAGAAACAGGGATGCAGAGACAGATATAGAGGGAAGAAACGCAGCATCTACAGGCCAACGAGCAGGAGTCAGATTAGATCTTCCTTCTTGGACCTCAGAAGGAATTCACCCTCCTCCACAGCACCTATTACTGATCAGCAGCCCTGAAAAACTGGGAGGTGACAGGTGTCCGTTATTTAAATTCCTAGCCTATGGATCTTTGTTCAGCAGTCCCAGAACCCCAGAATAGTTCAGATAAGGTTATGACACTCTTTGCTAAAAAGCTAAAAAAAAAAAATCTGGATGGATAACCTCACTTAATTATTTTTTTCACATTGGCAAATCATCCAGGGGAACCCAACATCTCAACTTGCCCCGTCAGATTTTTCACCCACAGTTTCCCTGTCAAAGCGAGGAATGAAATTGCGAGCAGGTTCTCACCTGGGTTGGCAAGGCGGCTACTTGTTGGTCCAAGGATCTGATAAGGATCTGCAACCAGAAGAGAAGAAGTCAAATCCCAAAGATGGAGCCAGACTAGGAATTAGCCTGATGGGACTCAGGCCATCACACCGACTCCACTGTGTTTCAGCCTGAGATGCTCCCACCCCCACAGCTCCTGGTCGGGATCAGGTGTCTCTCAGGTCCCTGGAGCATCTCTTGCCAGAGGCCTCTTAGTTGGTGACAGAGCTTGAGTTCAACTCCAGGTTTCTGACGCCTAGCCCAGCCAATGCATGCTCGGCCCCCAGCCTCCCCTGCACTTCCCTGTGGAACTCAGATTTTGACTCTGGTGTGGAAGGTGCAACGGCAAGATCTACAGACCACAGAGAGGCTGCCCACGAGTGGGCATACAGAGTGCTTCTTCCTGTATTGATCACATAGGTTTGGGATATGTCTTAGCAAATCTCATGCCATCATGTCGGTGTTGGCTCCCGTTTAAATACGGAGCAGGCATGAACAAGAAAAGTTACACACCAGTTTCATTTCTGATTGACACGTTCTAGATATTCCCAGCAGAGTCTGCGTCTTGTTGACAGAGGGTCCCCGCAACCTACCTAACTGGGGCCGCTGGTCCTCTGTTTTGGGCACTGCCGAAGGGGATGGCTGAGCAGCTGCAAAAGCAGAAGTTAGAGGACAATTAGCAAGGACATAGTCTTTGATGTAACTGGATCGTCACTGCACTGGTGACCTCAGCTATTTGTATCACAGTTTTGTTCCCAGAACACATCTTACTGGAAGGGAAAATCTTCCTTCCTAATGAAACTAAACTTAACCATTCAAGGAAAGGTCGCCACCACATCATAGCAAGCTTAGCCTCCATTGCAGCATCGGCATCCCACACGGCCCAGGCTCAAGTCTCAGCTGCTTTGCTTCCAATCCAGCTCCTCGCTAATGACACTGAGAAAGTGAGGAAGCAGTGGAAGATGGCCCAAGTGCTAGGCCCCTGAACCCACGTGGAAGACTTGGAAGAGACTCCTGGCTCCTGGCTTCAGACTGGCCCAGCTCAGCCATTGCAGCTGCTTGGGGCATGAACCAGCAGATGGAGGAGCTTTCTCTCTGTATCTCTCCCTCTCTTCTCTCTATATATAACTCTGCCTTTCAAATAAATATATTTTTTATGAAGAATCCCATTTCCCATTATTTAAAACAATCTCATGGATTCCTCCACTTTTTCTAAAAGTTGGGAAAAAAAATGAGATGGCTTACAAAGCAGTAAAATCAGTCACAGACTAAAATAAACAGATACAGGGAAACCACCAGGAAAATAAAACAAAGCCATAAAAACTGTTAAGCTTAGCCAAGCTTAAGGAAATTAGCAGTGGTTTAATCTGCACAACACTGCATGATCATGCATGTGTCTATGCTGAAATATACTACACCAAGTCCTGATGCTAGGGTCTACCACACTAAAATCACTGCCTGAGGCTCTGGCACTTGCTAAGGGTGTCTGTTTGAGTCTGGACTGTTCCATTTCCAATCCAGCTCCCTGCTAATGTTCCTGGGAAAGCAGCAAAAAAAAAAAAAAAAATGGTCTGAGTTTCTGAGAGCCAATGCTCACCATGGGAGACCTGGACAGAGTTCTTGGCTTCTGGTTTTGCCTGGCCCAGCCCTGGCTACTGTGATCATTTTGAGGAGTGAACCAGCAGTAGATGGCTGCTCTCTCTTTGTCTCTCTCCTTTCTCCTTCCTCTGTAACCCTGCCTTCCAAGTATTTAAAAAACATTTTTAAAATACACGACCTCATTTGTTCCTTTTTGTTATGAAGGGACGGTACAGTCCAAATGGTGAAAGAATCGTTGCATCTAAAGACCCATTGTGCTGTGCTGACAATAAAGCATGCTGGAAAGTCACGTGTTCACTTCAACAAGAATGCCTTCCCCAGCTTTGGGCAGGGGGTCTTAATGCTGTACCTTTTGTCTGGGGGGTGGGGTGGCCATGACCAGTCCAGGCTGACCTCCTGGGGGGCTCGTAGGGTAGATCTGTGAAGACAAGTTGAATTAAAGAACAGTATTGTCTTTTCCATCATAAATGTTTATGTTTTCAATTTCCTTTTGTGTTCTTTAAAATAAACATTGTGCCAGAAAAAAACATCTATTAATCCAAAGTGATGGTCAGTCTGGATCCCATTACATTTGGGTTTTATTTACAAACCGTAATTCTGTGTAAGGGATTAGTCTAAAACTCTCAGATATTGCTGTAAAAATTCCGAGTGACAGGTCTCCCCAGGGTTTGTTAATGCTTTTCAGTAACCAGTTGCCTCACTCTATTATCTTTCCATCTCTCCCATAAATGACTTTAGAAAAAAATGATAAAGATCATATCAAAAGTTTCTTAACATTGACGCTACCCTGCTTCCAAAACTGCACTCATGACCTGACCAAAGCAGAGGCACAAGCAAGAAGAATCAACAGTTGTTGTTTGACGTCCGCCCGCAAATCCACTCCCGGACACCCACAGGTGTCTTGCTTTTCCCTCTTCCTTGGGTACCAGCAGCACCTTCATCATCTTATGTCTGAGCTGCCTTCCTTGGTCACCTTTCATTTTCCATGTATCATTGCTTCATTTCTATTAAATCAGTCTTCACGGGTCTAGTTCTCCTTCTCAATAAACATTTCCTCTCTTTCTCTTTTGGCTTGAACTGAGGATTCCTCGAAAGTGAATGGCGTAAAATGAATGACAGAACTGAAAGAGTAATTGCCCCTACAACAATGGTCTCCAGACTTTGACTAAATGCTGCTGTTTTCACTGCATCTATAATACCACTTGCACTATGAAGCTCCACTGAACTGCGCATTTACAATGATACTTCTGCATCTTTAATGTGAGTTTTGCTCTGTAAGTCAAAAATACATCCCACAGCCATTATCATGCATGCTGCTACTGACTGCACATAAATGCAGCCCTTTCCACACGCAGTCTTAAACAGTACTGTCCTAGAATGTGTCACCCTGGGTTGCCTTGTCTCATTTCAATGTCGAGTGTCACGCTGGGTCAGCTGGAGGCCACAGCCAGGTACCGCAGCAGGTGTTCTATTACCAGGCACTCAGAGACAGCCATAAAACCCCCTTGGGAGACAGGACCTTGTAATTATTTTTGAGTCTCTTTCCCAACAAATCTTTTAACCTTGTTTAAAATGAGCAGTTGGCGGGGCCAGGCTTGAAAGAGTGAGACAGTTGTAGAAGATATGTCTCTTCCTATTCTCCTCTCCCAGAGGACGAAAATGACACGCAACGTGAAATTCCACACAGCATTGCCTTAATTTATTTAGTCTGTTTGGCTACAAGCGCTGCGCCGACTGTGGTCTGTGAAATTTGACCCAGCAGGGCTTGGAAGGGCTGGATAATTTTCTTTCTCAGCTCTGCTATTGCGTACCCCTCTCCCTCTCAGCTGGCACTTCTGTCTCTTTGGACTCCAAGCTTTTCCCTCTCTGTTCCTTAGAGATTTGCTTTTCCGCACTGGACTGTTCACAGGCATGGAATCCACAGCTGCCATCAATTTACAACTCAGTCTCAACTGAGGCCTCTGGGGATATGATACCCATCACATCTAAGCAAGTTACACTTTCACTTAAAAAAAGAAAGTGACTAGCCAGCCTTTTGAGATGTGTCTGAGAAAGAAAAATCTATCAGCAAGGCAGTTTGGACAACATCTAGCCTTGATCAAGCATCGACGAAGGACTCCTATGCACCACATGAAAAAGCTTTGAGATTTGAGATTTTTGTATCTCCGAGTGTGGGCCCTGGACCAGCAACACTGACCACAAACAGGAGGGAAGGGGCTGCGAGAAATATGAACTCTTACCAAGACCTATAACATAGTCCCCAAAGCCCCGCTGCTCGGCGAAGTTTGAGAAAGCTGCTGGAGACAGCTTCCATCCTTCTTTCCTAGCTGGCTCTGTTTCCGAAAAGGTTTCAGACATGCTACTTGGGGAGTGCCAATACATGTTCAAACACGGCTGCAATTCTCCAGACGGACTGACTGCCTTCATCAAGGTGTAAGATGGTTGTGGTGGGGGTGAGGGGGTGGGCACTGAGTCAGAGTGGTTAAGCTGCCTCTTGGTTGGCCACATTCTGGAGCGGAAAGTCATGTTTCTGATTCAGCTTCAAGTGAATGCAAGCCCTGGTAGGCAGCAGGTGACAGCCCAAGTATAGAATCCCTGTCACATACAGAGGGAATCTTGCAACTACACATTTTGGAAATGAACAAGTAGAGAGGATCTCTCTAGCAGATGACAGCTCTTCTCCAGCTTTAAACAAAAACTAAATAAGTGTTTAAAAAAAGATTACTAATGAAACTAAGAATAGCCAGCCTCCAGTAGGTTAGTAACACATGGACTTAAACAGAAAAACATCACTCAAGAAATGTGACTAAAAAAAAAAATTAAGCAGCAAACCACTAATATAAAAACTATCTTGAAACCTTTGGTTCATAAACTTCTCCTTAGGGTGTACAACTGTGCTCCACCTTCCCTTGAAGGTAAATCAGGACCTCACCAACACCAAAGTAAGCCGAATTTTCAGCCAAGTGTTAGTGATGCTTGTATAGACGGTGGTTACCATGTTCATAAACACATTGCCATGCAAGATAACGGGGGTTTTGTCATCCCTCGTGACATTCCAGTCCATGCACTTGGCTGTAGGCCTGCAGCCGCTCTCCTGCTGGCTTGCTGGCACATGTTGAAGAAAGCCTGGCTGAGATGGGGTGCCCAAGAGGAGCCCGCTGCAGAGCTGGATTTGGGTGGTTCTGTTCCTGGCTGTCTGAAAACCTGCAGCTCCACGCCCCATGCCATCTGTCCCAGCAAAAAGGACTTTGGCCACAAACAGATATTGCATGTCACTTTTCTTGATTTTTTTCCAACACCCTATTTCTCCTCAACTTTGATCTGCATGATAATAAACTCACACCCTTGGCAGAAATTTATGCGAAGAGTAAGCCCGATTCCTGGCGTTGGTCCTGCGATTTCGTCTGTAAAAGTCTGTCTCTAAAATTTCGACTTTATAAAGCCTTTTCTTAGTCAACTTTAGGGTGATCACAGCAACAGACATCCTGCTCAAGGCCCCAAACAGGAAGCTGCACATGGAGAGCTGGCCTGGTGTTGACGCCCGTATACCAGTGCTGGTGCCACTTTGCTAGGAGCTGGGTTTGAAGCAACCCTGAGTAAAGCTCCCTCTGCTACACGTCTGCAACACACACACCTCCTTGGCTGCCTTTCGCACTGGGTCTAAATCCAGCCAGACCGGAGAGTCTCCCATCATCAAACTCACCAAAAAGTAACCCTCCAGTCCTCTTGGCCTACCACAGATTTATTTTATAAAGGGTCATAAAGAGCTCAACTTCATCCTGCCGCAGCGCGATGCTTTTACAAAGCAACTCTAGATGAAAAAGCACAAGATCCCCACAGCCCACGAACTTGAAGGCTGTGAGCAAGACAGAAGGCCCAAGGGTGGCACCCAGAACTAAGAGTGCACCCTGTATCATTCAGTTGCTCTCTTGTTCTAAAATCCTCTACAGATGACATGGAGATCCTGGGGGAGCATTCTCTACTCCCCTCTCACCCAGGTTTGCAGATCTTGGTAGTTGTATCAGGGGAAGGAGAAGCGAATGAGGCACTTGCTAAGGCATGGATTTAAATCACAACTTGGCAGTTGCATGTCTCATTCTCCTTGGCTATGCCCAGTGGTTCCAAGAAGGAATAACTCAAGATTCCAGGAAACCCATGAAGAGTCCCATCTTCTAAGTAGAAGTCAAGGATGCTTTTCCATCCTTGGATAATATCCCAGATGTGTATCATGGCAAATGAGCTGTCACAGGCTTAAGGAACGTCCTCCTGCCCTGCTTATAAGAGGCCAGGTAGGGTGGGAGAGCCTGAGTTGGTTGAAGTGTGTGAGCCAGAACTGTCTTTGCATCTGCAACATTACTCTGAGACCGCAGGGGGCAGGTGGGACAAAGGAGAAGGTGGGGAGTATTTCCGGTAACCAAGACGACAATCGTCTGAGAAACAGCTGCAACGCCCCACAGAACACATAACAACATGCCTACATGCTAACACGTCCTGAGAGTAGAAGACAAGAGTTCTCCAAATGCTGGTTCAGCAAAAGGGCTTTGGAAAGAAGCTACACTGGGAATCGGGAAGATGTAGAAACCAGTAGGAATAGGGGTTGTCAGGTCACTACCCAGGCTCAGGCCACTGAGAGGCAGGACTGACAGTGACACAGCAGCGTGAGGTTGGCCGGACAACTGAAGCAGGAAGGGGGCTCTGGCCTAACCTGCTTTGGATAAGGCCATGCAGGGACCTTGAGTGTGGTCTCCCAACGAAACAATATGGATTTAGTTTCCCAGTTGGCAGAGGCAGGACAGACTGGGGCTGGCGTACTATCCAGGAGTGAGTCTGATGAGCGATCTCAGCAGGCCGCCTGGGACGCCTCTTCAAAGAGAGATCACATGGGGGCATTTGCCTACCTGGCCTAGTTGTAATTCTTTGCGTGGCTTCAGGATAGACTGAAGTATTGGGGAATATAAAAGCTGCGCCCCCTGCAGACAAAAGGAGAGAAAGCATGTGAAGGTCCAGCTGTGATTCTCCACCCCAGTACCAGGGGCAGCTTGGCTTGTCAGCCCCGGGACAATGAGGATCTCAGAGGCATGGCCTGGGGCCCGGGTCAGCAACAAATACTGCAGCTGGAAGGGGGCCTCCCTGTCATTTAGGGGTGTGTGCATGTGTGCTGTTTCTAGCTTTTTGCCCAAGCCCCATCTCTGCCCCCCTCTCAAGCACGTTTTATTAAAAATGAACAATCCAATGGTGCATGTTTTAGTTTTTCAAATTACCGGACAACCCCTACCATACTTTACACAGCTCTTGGCAAACAGCACCCAAGGATCACAACTGTTCTGCCTGTGAGTATGTGGATCTTATTAAAAATTAATCGGGTCTCAGTTCAAATGCACGTTCCTCCCTTTCTCTCTTGCCATCAACACTCATACGCTGTAAACGGAGAAGAATGCTCCTTGCACAACCCAGCCCGTCTGTTGTCTGGTCCTCCACCGCATCTATGCTTCACAGGAACAGAACTAATGAATTCAGAGCTTTCTTCAAGCTTTCACTCACACTGGAAGAATTTCTAAATGAATGTAAAATTATCGGAAGATGTGCATCGCTCCAGAGAATGTTTCCTGAGAGAGAAAATCTATTCTGAGTCATCACTCATCATTTCTGGCCACAATACTGTTACTAGGCTGATGTGCAGAGATTAAATTAAAGAGGTGTACCAGTAACCTAAAATAGGACTTGAGGTAAGATTAAAACCACAATGTTTTATATAAAAGACAAAGATAAGCTAGCAGTTTCATTTTCGTACCCAAACACGGACTCACTGCCATTTACCATTTTGAAATAAAAGAGTATTTCAAAAAGTTTGTGGAAAGCAGGACGAAAAGAAAAGCTCATTTCAATGTAAAAGATTTTAATAATTGACACTTTCTGTAACATCCATTTTCCATGAGCTTTTAGAAAACTTTTAGTATTAGGGAAATCAGTGCAGTTCCAGGTAAGAGATGGCCTGGAAGTGGCTTCTGAGGAGTTGTCAAGGCTTCCCAGCACCCACCGTTGCACCCTGGGCAGGGGGATGCAGGAAAGGCCCTGCTGCCTGACACTGGGTGGGCAGTGTATGGCCATGCTTCCAACAAGAGGAAGGAAACAGATGCGGACCCAGATCATCAGACCCCGTTAAGCTAAAGCAGGATAAGCAGATATGATGGAGACTCACTAGGTAGAGATAGAAACATAGGCATTCAATTAAGGACCAGTTTTATAACTTCCAAAGTTTAGCATAAAATGTGTTTTTGAGCCAAGTATTGCTGATTGGACAAAAATACCAGACGTGCCCTTCTCTGGCCTTCTGCACACGTTCAGACGACAGAATTAATACAAAACCAAGGACTTTCTCTTCCCACTGGGCTGTGTTGCTGCCTGCACACCCAGACACACCACCCACTCTTCAGCCCAGGGTTGGCCTTCTTGGTGCAGGGACCATGCAGGGTTTCACACTGCAGCCCACACCTGTAGACAGGACCCTGTGCTTGTGCTGGGGGCTGGGGGCGGGCCAGCATTACCTGTGTTTCTAGCATGCATTAACCGCGGAGAATTTTGTAAGGCTTTGTCCACATCATCTGAAGTCAAGTGTGGAAGAGGAGCTGTAAAACAAAGTAAAAGGCAACATCAAAATGCAAGAGAGAGCATCAACTTTCTTCAAAGGGACCAAAAGGAGAGAGGGAGAAAAAGAAAATGGAGGGAGCGAGAGGCAAGAAGAGAAGGAGGTAAAAGGGAGGGAGGGGAACAAGGAGAGAGGGAAAGAGGGAAGAATGGAGGGAGAGATGGACAGAATGGAGGAGGGAAGCACGAGGAGGTTAGGGAGGGAGGCAAGAAGCAAGGGAAGAAAGGGGAGGGAGGGAAGAAGGAAGAGAGGGAGGAAAGCATGGAAGATGGAGGGAAGAGGAAGGCGGGAGGGAGCCCTGGCATTGCCTTGTCACTCCTCGGCAAGTCAAGCTTAAGTGACCCAGGGAGGAAGAGGCTGGGAGGAAGGGGAGCTTCAGGGCAGCACAGACTCCACCCCTGTGTGGGGATCCCTTCTTGCTTTCCAGCCACCTAGGCAGGGTGGTAGCTCAGACACGCAGCAAACTCATGCATCCATGTCCTCATCACCATTCTCATTCCAGCAGGTGGAACCGAGTCACGTGTCAGGAAGGGAGTGCTGGTCCTGCCTAACATGGGAGAGGGATTGTCCTGGCACAGCGGACTTAGCCTGCAAACCCCATGATGTGCAGCAGGCAGAGGGCATCATGTTTGTCTCCACTTGGGGCACCATGGAAGCTGACTGATTTGTGTCCATTTCCTTGGCTCTTCCAAGGAGACTTTGGCGAAAGAAGGTGGCTCTTAGCTTCCTGGCACAGCACTGGCTATGGGTCCCCAGCAAAGTAGTTAAGCTGCGTCATTCTTAGGAGGCTGCCCCTGGGACCCCAGCTGGGCCCAAGGGTGAGGGCAGGTGGGTGTGGTCAGCTAAGAAGGCCACAACCTTGTGGGAGGCACCCTGGCCTTGGGAAAGAAGCTCACTCTCTCTGAGGTAGTGCAGGTGTGAGAGAAGGATCTCGGCGTTGTAGCTCGGGGTGAGCCTCTGGAAGTCGTCCTTGGTCATCTTGCACAGCTCCTTGCCGTCGATGTTCTGGAACAACAGGATGTCCACGTCGGGGAGGCCGTACTCCTTCACTGCCCATTCCAGCCACTGCCGGACGTGGTCCGTGCTCCACAGCGTTGGATCTACGAGAGAGCGGAACCAGTGCATTCAGCTGCCAAGGACAGAGGCCCAGGACTGAACACTGCCCCCGCAGAGTCCCCACAACCACTAGATTCCTGAGGGGTGAGGGGGCTGCAGCAGCGTGGCCTCATTGAGAAGTCAGGGGGGACAACTCGATCAGAGATAGAAACTGATTTACGTGGTCTTTAACAGAGCTTGTTCTGGAAATTTGGGGCTACTCAGATCACAGGATTCACAATTTCAAAGAAAGAACAAGCGAGAGAGAGAGAGAATTCCATCTCTTTATCCATCATTGGCTGCTTCCTACTGTGTGTGTTAGCAGCAAAAGCTGAAATCGGGGGCTGGGACACTTGAGGCAGGAATATGCAGTTTCATCTCTAGGTCAAACGTTAATTGCAATTCCCTTCTTAGACTTTATTTTCATTTGTGCTCATCTGAAAATCAGTAGGAATACAAGAAAATCCCATTTCCTTAAGGCATTACTGGTGTAATTACATGAAAGTAGGAGCAAGCAACGCAGATCAGAATCTAAATACAAGTGACCAAAGCAGGATTAGTGAGTGTAAAAACTGTACCATCATCCTACCGGCTAGTAGATGTGACAGTGAGCAGTCAGACACAGAGAACTGGGCTAAGCAACTGACAGGCAGCTGCTCCAGGCTGGGGGAGTCACAGGTGGGGCTTAGACACGCCGCAGGTCACATACAAGAGAGGAGGGGTCCTGGAGAGAAGAAGAGGGTCCCCAAGAGAAATACAACACCCTGTGAAGAACAGAGCCCCTGAAGTGCTGACAGACACCTGAGTCCAGTCCCTGTCGTGAGCCCCCATCTCTGGACTTGTTGGGTCTGGCTCAGGGATGCCGCTTCTCCCTGGATCTGGGTCAGGAGTTGAGTGAAGGCCTTGTGCTCAGCTCTCCGGACAAGCCCAGCAAAGTCACCTGCATGGCACCATATCTGCTTATCCAGACTGGAGAACTCTGGCGTGGCACTGAATCCTTCAAGCCACGTTTGAGAACACTGTCTGCTGTCGCCTTAGAGGAGGCAAGGAGGAAACGGGCTGTGGGCTTGTGGTACATTTGCAAGAAGTAAGAAGTGACAATGGTAAGAAACAATCACTCTTACTGCCAACATCCTCTTCCCTCCCCATGGTCTGCACTGTTGTACGACAAAGATTTACTTTTTTAAAAGATTTATTTTACCTTTATTCGAAAGGCAGAAATACAGAGAGGAGGAGAGACAGAGAGGAAGATCTTCTGTCCAATGATTCACTCCTCAAGCGGCCACAATGGCCGGAGCTGAGCCAATCTGAAGCCAGCAGCCAAGAGCCCCCTCAGGGTCTTCCACGCAGGTGCAGGGTCCCACGGCTTTGGGCTGTCCTCCACTGCTTTCCACGCTGGACCCAAGAAATACTTATAAATCTACATAAGCAATCCCCCATTTCCTCCCTTTCTGAACACTCCAGAAGGATCTTTCTGAGCTGTTCCCATGTGTATCCTTCATGCTTTCACTGTATCAACTATCCACGTGCGTTTTGGATTTTGAAACTCAACAAAAAGGACATCTGCTTGCTCTATGTACTCAGCTCTGGGTTGTCAAAATGAAGCCAACTTAATTCTGCCACTGGGTCATGATATAGTTTTCATGATAAATGAGACTAAAATTCTGATAGAAGGATTTTTTTTTTCTTTTCCTCGTGGCAGATCAGAATTCCTCATCACACAAAACCAGATCATCCAAGATCTTGGAACACCCTTGACTCAGATCCTTCCAGTCCTGGTTCCCTGTAGTTTGAGTAGTTTTCACAGGCTGAACACGCTGCCCAAGTCACTTCCGGTAAGTTTTATCCTTAAGGTATCAGCCACATTTTTTTGCAGTCCTGATTTTAACACGAAAGGACTGTTTTCTGATGTCACTACTTCCTGGGAATCGGCTCCGGCTGGGAGTAGATTTCTCCTGCTGGCTCATATCTGCAATGACCAGGGCCTGGCAATGCTGAAGCCACTTAGGTCACAAACTGACTCCTCCCAACATGTGCATTAGCAGGAAGCAGGAATCACAAGTGGAGCTAAGTATTGAACCTGGGTACTCCGACACGGGACATCAACGTCTTAAAAAAGCAACTAAAATTCTAGGTCAAGCACTCCCTCCCCATCCCTGGATTGGCTCCTCTTACGGCGGGAGCAGGTATCCTCAAACCAATGCAGAAGCAATCTGCAGAAATCACTGGATTTATGGTCAGGTGGAGAAACGACTTGTTCTGTAGGAAGCCACGTTTCTTTACCAGCTCCTGTTTCGGTCTTTAATTCCTCTCCCTCATTTGCCAAGGGTCTCCACGGCTTAGTCAGTTTACTTCAAGGAAATTACGTGCAAGACTCAAGAGGCCACTTCTCAGCTGATGGGCCTTCGGTCCAGAATTCTCGTAGCCACCTGGGAACGACTACTCTTGCGATTTGCCAATGAGTTCACAACAACTGTCATGAAGACGGTTCGGCCACATGCATGTGAACGTGCATGCAGTCTCTTGCTTGAAAATCCCACTTGTAACACGTATCCTAAGGAAATGGCGGAGGATGTACGCAATGACTTATTTTCAAGGATGTTCTTTGTAGTACTGTTTATAATAGCCAAACTTTGGAAACACCCTAAATGTCCAACAAAAAAAGATGACTAAGTAGTGTTGCTGTCCAATATTTTAAGAATGTTGCTGTGATATTTAGAAAAGGAATGTTAGTTGCATTGCTGACATATGTATGGAAAAAGTAGATGAAATTAAAAATCCATGCAAAATGGGTGCACGGTGGTCCTATGTTTGTAAAGACACCTAAATGTATGCACGGAGAGTCAGCTCGCAGGATGTGCAGCAAGATGCCGGCTGCCTCTGGAGAAGAGGACACGGCACCTCTGCAATATATCCTTCCCATTAAACTACATTTCCTCTTTAATCCACTGTAAATGTGCAGCACGTAGCTTAAAACTTGTTTATTAAAAATGCACTTTTTAAAAATAAAAGTCAAAACAAGCCTGATACACAGCCTAGCTTGGGACTGATCCTCATCTTCCCTTTTGTAAAACAATATGAAGAATCCCAGGACCCGAGCAACGACTGGGCTCAGAGCAAAACTAGGACCCGAACAACGACTGGGCTCAGAGCAAAACTAGGACCCGAACAACGACTGGGCTCAGAGCAAAACTAGGACCCGAACAACGACTGGGCTCAGAGCAAAACTAGGACCCGAACAACGACTGGGCTCAGAGCAAAACTAGGACCCGAACAATGACTGGGCTCAGAAAAACTAGTGTGAATTCAGCCTGGAGCTGTTGAGGCTTTGCTGGATGCACAAGTGTCATGGAGATTCCGAAGCGGCCAGCTAGTGAGGCCAGGGCTGACGGAGGAAGGATGCCATGGCCACAGCCCCCGCAGCTCGGTCAGCCTGGAGTGAGTGGCTTCAGTGAGGATTAACAGTGATGGATTTGAGCAAAGGAACATGCTCTTTGGTGCTTCACCTTGTCTCTAGAGAGGCAAAGGAACATGCTCTTTGGTGCTTCACCTCGTCTCTAGAGAGGCAAGGAGCATGGAAAAACTTCAAGAAGCTTCCATGAGAAGTGGTGCTTACAGTTAGACATGCGTTTTGGGGGCATAGTTTTTGAAATCCAGGCAGTTTATTGCACATTTTCTCAATGCCCCTTGTTTTGAGAGATGTTAACGGGAAAGCAAGACACTGAACTTAGCTGTGCTGCAGGGGCTCCAAGGGGCCCCGCTGGCATGGCCACGAGGCTGTAGTTGAGTCATATGGAGTGCAGAAGCTTGGCGAGGCAAACCCAAGATTTCCTTGGGAGCCAGGAGATTCATGCTGGGGGTTCTGACTCCACCGCATCCTAGACACGAAGGCTAACCCCTCTGAGGTGAGTTTTATTTTTCTGTGGGCAGTGAACTGAAATGTGAGAAGACTGGAAAAGTCAGCGAGATAATGCATGGAGTGCTGCTTGCCAACAGTAACATACTGCAGACCCAATTCTGCAGACTCTGCTAATATGAAATAAACAGTCTATTATCGCTAGGACAAGTCTCTTTAAACTCAGATCGTCTGAGTTACCGCTCGACGATGACTTGGGCAGAGCTTCTGTCAGACGGAGTGGGAGGTGAGTTAGTTGTCTTCTCTCCAGCCTTCTCATCCACAGTGTTGAAAATTTTTGTAGCATCTTCCCACCTTCCCTGCCCACCAACATGTCAGTAAACATGGATCAGGATAACAGAGACAGGGCTGCTTTCTCTGCCTGGTTCACATGGCTAATATCCAGCAGGGTTACAAATTCCATTTCAGTAAATTGGAATTAAAAAATAATAATAAAGATTGGATCTTCAGCTGCTGGTTAAGATACCATATGGGAGTGCCTGGGTTCCATACCCCGTTCTGGACCGTGACTCCAGCTTCCTGTCAATGCAGGCCTTGGGAAACCACAGTGGTGGAAGTGGCTTGAGTTTTTGCCACTGACTTAGGAGACCTGAATTAAGTTCCCAGCTCCTCGTTTCAACCTTGCCCAGTCCCTGCCATTGTGAGCATTCTGGGAGTGAGCCAGCAGATATGAGCTCTCTTTTTCTGTCTCTAATAAATATATTTTTAAAAGAAAGAAGTAAGCAAATAAAGGCAAACAGGGATAATGTGGCAGTCTAGTTATACTTTGCTATGTGCCTGTGGCTTGTATGGTTCTAAGTGGTAGCCTGGAATTTTTGTTGTATTTCCATGTAACAGAATTCTGACCCAGTGGAGATCCAGTGCTGCCAGGAAAATGTTAAGTCGATATTTAAATCAGGCAAAATAGCATTGGATTGCCAAAAGGCACGCTACGCCTTCCCCAAACGAGATCCCTCACACAGGCCAACATCCCTACTTCAAAGGTCCCCTCCCCGCCCCAGATTCAAGAATCAAAGCAAGATTAAACAAAAGCTCTATGGGGGGGAGGGGGAGAAATCATCTAAATCCAGAATGTCATTTTTCTCAAGC